GCATTTGACAACAGTTCTCAGAGCACAGAGTTTCGCCTTGCTGTCCCACTTTCCAGTGAGAACATGCCTCTTGTTGATTGGGGCAGCTCCTCCACAGTGCCCCCCACACTGATGGGGGCATTGCCTTGGGATCCAGATATTTCCCCTAGGCAAGGAGATATGATAGGGCCAAAGCAGCAGTGCACTGCACGTGGCAGAGCCTGTCTCCATGCTGGCTACTGTTCACACAGTGTGAGGAGGATTGCTAAGGGAGAGGGGCAGCTGTGTCACATTTTGGCCTTGCAATCAGAGATGCAGAGATGGGGAAATCTCTCTTATGGGATGCCGCAAAGCAGCATCAAAGTGGTGCAGAATCAGTGCCAGGCTGAAGATGTGGGCTGTGTACATCAGTAGGTGCTTGTTTGTTCAGTTGCTGGATGAAGGAGGAGCTCCAGTGCCTGTCTGCATCACCCCAGGTCTTGTTCGTGTCTGGGGGCAGCAGCAGCCACTCTGTATGGGTCTCGGACAGGAGCTGTGGGGTCCAACAGCCACAGCCTGGGGGATGGGGGCAGAGGAGCAGCTGGACAGGCACAGCATCACCATGTGAGTGAGTTGCTGCAGTACCCCAGGCTCTGAGGCACACTGTGGAAACTGTGTGTGTGATCCCACCTTTAAATGACAAACTTGCTGGAAGGCAAATGACACAGACACTCACACAGGAAGGGACAAGTTTAATACTTTCTTCACAGATGTATGAACCCTCATTTACCATGTCTCAGGAGACTGTCCCAGCTGGTGTCCCCAGTCTAGGCCATAGGAAAACTGGTGGCACTCCCCTCTCCCTTGCAGCCAAGAAACCAAGATTCACACAGTGAGCAAGAGAAGTGCCCTGTGGAGAAGACTCAGGGAAGGGAAAATACCAGCCTGTGGGACCAACACCTGCTTCTATATTTTGTTGATGACTGTTCTATGTAAAACACAGGAATAGTACAAATTTTGCTTGATTTGTGCTTAACCAAACAGCACCCCTAAATGCTTTTACTGAATCTGGCTCTGAATCATATTGCAGATTTTGACCAGGTAGTGACCTGAGAAGGAGTCTTTTGACAATAACCTCTAAATGCCTTTTTTAAGGTAAAAATCAATTTTTTTTTCTACAAGCAGAGTAAATTACTGGGCTTTGTTCCTGGCACAGTGAATACAAAAATAGCCTGGCCATAGTCTCAATCTATAAACCTGTAGCAGATGAGAAATAAAATTGCTTAAAAGTAGATTCTTTATAAAGCATCTATTTGGGATGGGCTGAAATGAGAAAGAATTGCTTTATCTAATCTTGCCAGGGAAAGCATTTCAGGACAGAGGAGCATGAAAGTGAACACTTGACCTTCCTTGGAGGCCAGGTTCCATATGAGGTCAGGCAGAAAGACAGCACCTGAAGATGGCTGAAGATAAATCCAGGGTAGAACATGGAGGCTGACTGAAAGTTCAGGCTCTGTGGTTTATTCTTGAGCCTTATCACTGCTGAAAGAAAATTGAAGTGATTGCATAGTACTTTCAACTTAACGGAAATAAGAAAGATAGCGAATGGTTGATTACATCTCTTACTGAAGTCATTCAAGTACAGGCCATTGCCCATTAAACTGTTGCCAAGGCAGCATTAGCTGGCAGCTAGATAGCTCGGGATGCTCTCTCTAGCCTTCTCTGGTAGAGATTAACCATATCATCTCACTTGACTTTGTACTCAGAGCAGGTCAAAGCAAAAAGTTCTGCAGTAGGTTTCAGTGCTTCTCCATTAGCTTCAGCCTGGGTTCCAAGGAGGCTGCAATAGAAACAGTGGAATGCGTGAGCTCCCCTGCAAATGAACACTCGGTGGATATAGAACTGGCTGGATGCCACATGCAGAGTTGTGGTCAATGGCTCAGTGTCCAGCTGGAGACCAGTAACGAGTGGTGTCCCTTAGGGATCGGTGTTGGGACCGGTCTTGTTCAACATCTTTGTCGCTGACATGGACAGTGGGATTGAGTGCGCCCTCAGCAAGTTTGCCAGTGACATCAAGCTGTGTGGTTTTGCTGATACGCTGGAGGGAAGGAATGCCATCCAGAGGGACCTTGACACGCTTGTGAGGTGGGCTGATGCCAACCTCATGAAGTTTAACCATGCCAAGTGCAAGGTCCTACACCTGGGTCGGAGCAATCCCAGGCACAGCTACAGGTTGGGCAGAGAAGAGATTCAGAGCAACCCTGCGGAGAAGAACTTAGGGGTGTTGGTTGATGAGAAAATGAACATGAGCCGGCTGCAGTGTGCACTTGCAGCCCAGAAAGCCAACCGTATCCTGGGCTGCATCAAAAAGGAGCGTGACCAGCAGGTCGAAGGAGGTGATCCTGCCCCTCTACTCTGCTCTTGTGAAACCTCACTTGGAGTATCATGTACAGGTCTATGTCCTCAACATAAAAAGGACATGGAACTGTTGGAACAAGTCCAGAGGAGGGCCACGAGGATGATCAGGGGACTGGAGCACCTCCTGTATGAAGATAGGCTGAGAAAGTTGGGGCTGTTCAGCCTGGAGAAGAGAAGACTGCGTGGAGACCTCATAGCAGCCTTCCAGTATCTGAAGGGGGCCTATAGGGATGCTGGAGAGGGACTCTTCATTAGAGACTGTAGTGATAGGACAAGGGTTAACAGGTTAAAACTTAATTAGGGGAAAGTTAGGTTGCATATAAGGAAGAAGTTCTTTACTGTGAGTGTGGTGAGGCACTGGAATGGGTTGCCCAGGGAAGCTGTGAATGCTCCATCCCTGGTGGTGTTCAAGTCCAGGTTGGGCAGAGCCTTGGGTGACATGGTTTAGTGTGAGGTGTCCCTGCCCATGGTAGGGGGGTTGGAACTAGATGATTTTAAGGTCCTTTCCAACCCTAACTAGTCTATGATTCTATGAGGCAACCTGGTTCACAGGAACATAAAAGCAACCCTCACAGTTTTCTGTAAAACAATTTGCAAGCTGAAACTCTAGAAAATTTTATAAAAGTAAAATTACAAAGAATTACTGGGATTTTTTAGGAGACTCTCACAGTGCTGAGGTCTGATTCATGACTATGAATGCTCCTTGCTTGGCAGGATGTGGCACGTAAGGAAGCAGCCAGGGACTGTGTGCTGGGTGAACTGGTTGAACTGATGCAGGAAAGTGTTTGCCTGGATCCTGATGTGAGGACTCAGCTGGGAGCAAAAGTGGTGAATTTTAACCAAAACTAAGAATAAAATAAGTTGCCATACAAGTTGTGTAGCCATCACTAATTCAGAAAGATGGGCTACAGACTTGCATATGCTGGAACTTGCGAAGTCATAACAGAACTGTAGTAGACTGGAGAGACAGCTGAAAGAGGACTGGGATTATAGTGACATTTTGACTGTGATAAAAATCACTGCACCTTCCTTCCCAGGTTCAGCCTATAGGGTCAGTTCAATGCCTAATACTGGTACCTATTGTCAGTGTTAATTAGGTCACTGCAGAAAATTCAGCAGCTGGCCATAAGGTGTCCTCCATGGCTCTGCAGAAAATGCTGTCCTGCTGGGAGAAAAAAAAAAATGAAGCTTTTGCTGGGCATCACTTCACAAATGTTCAAAAGTGTTCAGGGTCCAAATGATGGAGAGCAGAATAACTTTGTGCTGAAGCAGGCAGAACGCTATTGCTAAAGCTGATGCCTAGGCATGTATCAGAGCTTATCATGAGCAACAGTGAATATTTGAGCCTGTCAATCAGAGAGAAAAGTGAGAATGCACCCACTTTCACATGAAGAAATCAGAAGTAGTTTTGATTTACTAACACTGGATTGTACTGTTTGTAAAAGACTTGACATGGAGCTGGTCTACCAGTCAGCAAGGTCCCCTTGCCTCCTGTTTCAAAAGAAGGGCACAAAAGACACTTCCACTGCATTTCTTTTCCAGACTTCATGGAAAAGATGCTGCAAATTTAGATCCACATTCAAATGCCCTAATTCAGTAATGCAGTCAACGTGGCTCTCAGAGCCTGACATCCCTGATGTGTAGAAAACCTCACATTTCATCCCAGATGAAAGGTAAAAGTCACATCACTAATACTGTGGCTTCTTTCTCATGATGACCTTCTTGGTTTTACAGTCACATTTGCACTTCCAGAAAATGTTCATGGATCTTGACTCCTAGAAGCCAGTACCTACTACCCCTTCTGAAAAAAGTCAGGTGCTTGTGCAACTGCTGTAGCCCTGGGCTTTGTGCAGTTAAGCAATGTGTTGTAAGTGCTGGAGGTCATTCAAGGCGCTGTTCATGTAACAAGAACTTCACCTTGGCACAAGAGGCCAGGGGATGCACAAGAGCTCTGTTGCTTAAAACAACCTCAGAAGTATTTGAGGATGAAAGGTTGAAGAAGAGATGAAAGACGTTTCTTCCTTCTGTGATGGCACCTTTGCAATGCCAGGTACATCTGTGCCACACAGAAAGGACAGTGGTTAATCTCTTCTCATCCTGGGCATTGGTCACACTCGTGACAGTGTGGAACCTCTGAAGCTGGTACCAGAATTTCCACCTTAAGTGCTGCTGAGCCTTTGGTATTGCTTTTCAATGTCAGGAATTTTGAGATGGGCATTTTTCAGTTAAACTCTGTACTCAGCAGCTCTCTACTGCCTTGGAAAATGCTCTTCAGGGCAGCCATGCTTTCCACCCTCCCCCATCACACCCCACCTCAGTGGCAGCCTCCAGAGACTGCCTGTAGGTATCTCCTACCAGAGGTGTGTGTAGGCAGTGGACTCGCTTGCTGGGGATGTTTGAGCGTCCAACGTGCCCAGGAAGTTGGTTTTAGCTTCCACCAGGACTGCTGCATCTGTGTTGTGTCTGGGGCAGCCAGGACTGCCCTCTAGATGCAGAATAGACATCACCCCCCATATTGCTCCCTCTTAGCATTTTCTTTGTTAATGTACTTCAACTCCTTTTAAACCACCGATGTGTCCAACAAGCTCAGCATTATTTGGCAGCAAGGAGTTAGCTTGGCTTACCTGCTTCTTTCTTTATATTTGACTTATTCCCAGGCCTGCAGGACTCTTCTTTGTTATCTACACATGCAGAGCCCTGTTACACAAATGCAAACAGAAAAATGAGTAGGTGTGCGGTAAATGAACTCCTGCATCAAACTGGCATTCTTAATTGTCAAGTCATTTCCCAATGGGAGGGTAATGAAAAGAGAAGCATTAAAGTTAATGAAAAAAATCAGGTTGAGAAATCAAGCCCTGAAACAGGAAAGATATTCCTGTAGTGAATGTTGCCAACTGCAGAACAATTATAATCTCTGTGGTCTTGCTACATGTTGATGATAAACGCTTCTCACAGAAAACAGAAACATAAGTGGGATAGAATTATTTCTGCAGTGGGATCTCTGATTTGGGAGATTTCCTGGGATGTGAATGCTCTATTTTTTGTTCTTAATGATAGTTGTTTACTTTTCTTTTTCTGTTTTAAAGGAAGAAAGAAAGGAACATCTGAATTACTTGGCACTCATAATACATATGTTACATTGGCTTCATCTGATCACAAAGGTTACAAGCTCCACCAACTACGCCAGGAGACCTTGTAAATTTTCTAAGTTAAATGAAGAGATTAGGTCTGCTGAGCATGCAGAAATCCATCATCTTTGCCGATAGAGCTATTAAACTCTTTGATCCACAGCTGTTTGGCCTGAAGTCTCTCCCAGGCAAGCTGATCTTCATTCTCCATCCTGCCTTTTGCCAGGTAATTCTCAAAAGCATCTGAACCCCAGAGGAGCCCAAGTCCCTGTGGCCTGGATCTTTGTGTGTTAAGATCCACATGGTGGGATTTGTCTTAGCTCTCATACATAGAATACGACATCTAAACTGGGTGTCTGGCTCTCCCTGTAACCAGCAGATATACCTGTGAAGATGGCTGGCTGCTCTGCCCCAGTGTGGGATGAGTGCGGCAGATAGGAGTGCTGAACCACTCATCTCGTTTTACTGATCATGGGAGCACCTGGAGAGCCAACTTCCACTAAATGCTGCCTGCTGACCAGGCGAGGTGAATTCCATACAAAATTGATGGGCAGATAAGCTGGCCATATGGACACCCATAACAACATGCATGTGCATGTGGGATTCACTAGACGTGTTTCTTTAAATGTAAGTCCTCTGAAGGATGTGGGCCAGGCCTCGTTTCATCATGTGATACTATGCACAGGGACACATCCATTTCTTTTCCAGGTCTTCTAAGGAATTGTCACTTATTTATAACAAAGATCACAAAACAGGTTGCATTCCTGTCTCCAGGAAAAAGCAAAGTCTTTACAATTTATTCCGGCTTCCTAAGGTAACAAGGCTCTGTTTGCTCTGCCTGCCTATCTTCTTCTCAGTCAAGCCCTCTTAATAAATGTCATTCCCTCTTGCTTGTTCCTTCCATACCTTCACAAATATTCAGGTTTCAGATAGCCGGTGGCATGGCTTTAACACAAAATGTGGACTATCTCCACATGCCAGATTCATCCACAGCTTATAGGTTAGGATCCCTCTCTTACAGAATGTAGGAAAATACGGGTTTGAGCTTTCCAGGCTGAGAAGGGTATGCAGCCAACCTTGCCCATTGCCTGGACTAGTACTTTAGACACTGGGCTATTATGTCAAAAACTCCCTAAAAGTCTCCCTATTTCAGTTTCTTAGATTAAGAAAGCTCATCCTTAGATCTAGCCACTAATGTAGAATTCGTGTCCCTTACTTTAGTCCGCTGTAAGACAGCTTTCTGATTTCTTGTACTCAGAGGTTTTAGGTACCTAAATCCAAGTATGATTAGAGATTTCAAAGCAGTCTCTCTGACTACTGCATCCTTTTATCTTGTGGAGGTGTCTTCGTCTCTTCCCAGGTCTGATAGGTGAGGAAGTCCCAACTTGATAGAAAACAGAAGATGTGTTACCAGAGATGAAGATAGGCACCATCAGGTATACACCTTCCCTCAGACTGCTTATACTGTTTGCAAGGAAACCTGTTTTTTGCATCCAGAATGCACACTGTATTATACTGTCTACTCAACCAAGACATTGATATTTTAAGCACACTGGAGCCTTGAGTTGCTAAGTGAGTCAAAGTCTTTTGATGCAGAATAAGGTTTTAATCTTATCTCCTCCGTAAGAGTTTCTTGCCTGCAGAATCCCCTGAGTAAATCCCCAAGCTACTGCAGAAATCCTCCTGTTTGATACTAAAGACATGATCTTGAAATGGGTGTTAAATTTCACAGTCGAGTTTCAGGTTATCTGTTTCTACCTGTACCACCTTCAGATGACTTCCGTGCCAAGTTGTCTCCTACAAGTGGCTAATGAGCAAATTTCGTTAACATGTATCTACTTTTTCAACTGTAGTCCTTCATGTAAACAGCTGAAAAGATCCCCTGGAAAAAGCTACAATTTTCCCTTCAGCACAGCTGACTCCCATCTCCCTTTAAAGCCATTTCTTACCCTTGCTACAGTTTGTGCGTTTTTTGTTGTCTTCCCCTCCATTTTAAGTAATGATTTCCCATATCGTGAGTGCTTCTCTGATGTTCAGACAACTTGACTTGGCTGCAATTACCTTCCTTAAAGCAATCAATGAGCTCTCTTGTACAGGAAGGTGTTAGGCTGGCTTGGTACCCTCCAGCTGGCAGGCCCAGGCTGTTCTTTCCTTGATTTTTCATTAATCATCATGTCAATAACTATTCCTTTCCTTTAAAATTCACCCCGTAACCTTGCATACAATTGCAATCAAGCTAACGTGCCTTTAGATGCTAATTCACTTTCTTAATTATGGTTACTATATTTACTGCTCTCAAGTCACATGTATCCCTCTCCTTCATAGCTTGACAAAATTACTTGGAGCGGCTGCCAGCTCTCCGGGTGTCCTGTGGTGAGGGATCTGCTCCCCATTGGCTGAGTGCATCCAGCTCTCAGTTTTTATTCTCCCTTGAGGAGGTATTTTCAATTTCCTGACGTTCATCCCATGTCTGTCTTCCTTTTCTCCAGAATTCAATGTTCTTACAGAACCCCAAAGCTGAGTTTCATTTAGGTTGTTCACACACCGATGCCAGCTCTAATCCCCTCAGTATAAAAACATTACTTATTTTCTTCTCCAAAATCTTTGTGTTTTAATAGCTAAATAACCTTTTATGATTTCCTTTTATTATTACTATTTAATTTCCTCTGCAAACTTTTAACTTGGTTTTACTTTTGGCAATGTTTACCCCAGTCCTGTGCTTCCTGGCCTCCAAAATGAAGTTTTCATTGCTGATTAGCTCTTTTCTCCTTTCCAAATGGATGCTGTGCTGGACTTTCTAAGGTAGTACTCTATCCATTTTGGTCTATAGGCTCTTTCCTCCTTTCCTTATGAAGTGAATTCCAGATAGCTCCTTACAGCTTTTATTGAAAATAAATTATAGGTCTCCTTCAGCTGAAGTATCTTATGACTCTTTGGCCTGACTGCCCTCAGTAATCAGTCCTTCTTCTGAAATCTGTGCTTTTAAAACTGAAAATCTGACTTGTTTTCATATATGCCCTCATTTCATCCAAAATGAATCAACTTAGTTTGGCTAATGGCTCAGTTTAGTTCTGAAATTAATGTTAGTCTTTCCATTGGCTGCAGAAACTTGGATCTGCCCTGTTTAAATGTTCTCCAGGGCTGAGGGTGTAAACACAGTATTATGGGCCATGGTTTCAGCTGGTTTAAATTGCTAAAGCTCTGCTGGACTCTGGCCATGCAAGTGGAGTCTCCCTTGTCAAGAAGCTGAAGTTTTCATCAAAGTATTTTGGAAGCAAATACAGTCTCTTAAATTACTAAGAAAAGAGATTTTTTTTGCCATCTTTCCACAGAAGAAACTGCAAGAAAATGTATGTTCTCACACTCCTTAGAGTAGTCTTGAAATTAATTTACTATACCTGTCATAATATATTATCAGTATGCATTACCTCATTTGAGAGCCTCTTCTTGTTGTATATAGCAAGTGGCAGGAAAAATTTAATGTGATACAAATAACCTTTGGGTTGATTTAACTCTGCATGCCGAGACTGTCCCAGTACTCCTACTTGTGTTGATTGCACGTTAGCATTCAGACAGCAGCAACAGTAATGACAGAGGGAGACACCAGAGCCAATCTTTAAAATCTCCAGTGAGTTAAGCAAAGCAGGCTACAAAGGGGCCAGAGGCTAATTATCATATCAACGTTTGACTTGGTGGTAGCACACTGAATTGGACGGCAAGATTACAGTCTGAGAGTATTAGATCCTCATTGCTTCTTCCCCTCCATTACAGTCTATCATATCCCTACCACCAGGCACGCTTAAAGACACATCAGAGGAAAGAAGAGGAGGACATATAAGTCAAAAGAACCACAGCACAAGTAAAATGTGCCAGTTGCATCTGGGGGTATTTTGTACCTTAGGGCTGAGTGATATATTTCCATAGGGTAAGGTTATTCAATGCAAAATAATAATAACAAAGCCTGTAATGGCGTTTTGTGTGTCGTCCACCCCCCCACCCCCCATTATTATTGTGTGATAATGTGCTGTTACTCATTCAATAATAATACAGCTTTAGCTGGTCCTGAATAGCTGCTCACACTTGACATGCTTTGAAGTATTTGCGTGGGTAGCTCCTCTGCACCAAGATTTAAACAAAGGGAGGCATGAATTCCAGCATTAAGTTTGTCCCTTACTTCCTGCATCTCACAACCTATACCTGCTCTTAAATACATACCAACCTTATCGTGGTCTGCTCAGTTCATTGTAATAGGTAGGGTAAGAGAGCAAACACAGGTTTCAGTGATTACCTATCCGGTACAGGAACACAAGTCGGCAAACATTAGCTTAAGAACAAGCCACTTCATTTTTGACAAGCATTATAGACTACTGGGGAAAATAAACCAGCCCTTTTTCTATTTTTAACTCTCTGATTGACACAGTGCCCACTTCAGACTGACTGCAAGCCTAACTGCTGGGCACTGAGTGATGGAGAGGGGGAGTGCTCACACCTCTGACTGCTGCAGGGCAGGAGGAGGGAGCTGGAGGCAGCAGTGTGGGCAGGAAAACAGAGGCAAAGATGAGTTCCTTGAAGGCAGGGACAGCCCTTTCAGTGGTGGATGCCTGCTCACGCCCTCTGCATGCTTCACGATAATATTGCTGTAGACATGGATGAACTGAGGCTGAACTAAAGAGAAATGCTAGAGTCCAAAAATGTGCCCAGTTGGCTTTTTTTCTTCCCTTCAATCATTCCTCTTTTAATGTATTGAATTCAGTTCAATACTAGACTAGAATAACTCAAACTACTCAGACCAAAACCAAGCTGCACTGTCAGTGGTTGAGTGGTTCATCCCCACTTAGGGTATGCTGTCCCCCTGAGGCACAGGTCATGCATTGTTTTCTAAACATTGAAAACCCTCAAAAAAAGTATGAGTTTCATCCAAACTCAAACACTTCTTGACCCTCTATAGTTTATAGTGCATTCATTTCTGACATGGACTGTAGATTATTATTAGCGTTAAAGAGCAAACAAACAAAAGCCCTCACCCACTTTTTCTGTCTTAGGGCAAAACTTTCTTTCCTCTTTGGAAGAAAAACGAAAGTTTTTCCAAAAAAAAAACGAAAGTTTTTCCAAATGCACACAAAAAAGTCGCTGTAGTTATTTGTTGTTTTCAGTTGTTGGTGGTTTTTGGGCGGTTTCACTTTTTTTCTCTTTTTGGTGAAGGTATATGTAGCAAATTTTAGCCTGCTGACATGGTCTTATTTTCTCAGACTTTCTCTGCAGACTATGTAGAGGTAACCCATAGATTGCCTTGGGTTTCTGGGGTCATCACTGCAAAAAAAACCCTACTGCACTATGCAGAAGCAGAAAGTTCAGGTGCACTATGGTTCTGGATGCTAGTTTTGCAGCAATGATAGAAAGCTGAATTGTAACCTCTTTGGGTGGGGGATACCTTATTTAAAAGCTGATAAGGCTATTGTATTTGGAAGCTAAGGTTTTCCTTTCCTTACCAGGAGACACTTTGGGAAAATGGAGGAAGTGATATCACTAGGGTTTAATGAACCTAGATAATTAAGGATAGTGAGGAAGTCTCACAGAATCTGTTGCTTAACATGCTGGGTTTATGAGCTTGGTTGCATGGGATATTTAGGAGACTGCTAGTGCATTAAAGGTGAAAGTGGGAACTGAAAAGCCTAGTAGCTATTTCTATGCATGCGTTGATATTACTTCTTTTCCCTATTATACTGTGTTATTTGCATATAGTTTAATGCGGGTTATATTTATGCATATTCTGTCGTAAGCACAGAGTTTAATCTAATGATCTGCTGTCGTTTAGCTTAATCCAGTTTGGAAAGGCCAGCAGAAGACACTGGAGCTAGTATGTTGCTGGCTGTCCCTCATCAACTCATGCATTTTCCCCACTGCTTTTCAGACAGAACAAATACATCAATTCCTCATTTTCCCGCACTGATGCCAGCTGTGGTGTTGAACACGCAGCTCTCAAGAGCAAGTGCATCTCTCAGGCTGAAGACTTACCAAAAGATGGTTCCTGGACAGTGCTCTCCTCAGAGCTCTGGGGAAAGGTTTCCCTCCATCCAGCCTGGGGAGGCAGTGAGCCCGCAGGGCTTGCCAGCACTCTCAGCAGAGGCTGGGTGGAAGATGCAGCGAGTCTTGGCTAGCTCGCTCCTGACGTCTCCTGCCTGTGAGCAACTTCCCAACTGCCCTTTTCCCTCAAACGATTGGTTACTGTTTGCAGAGATGTGAAAATGTTGGTGTGCTGCTCACGGGGTCAGTACACAGCCTTCCTTGTCTGACAGTTCACACTCGGCAGTAGCTCCTGGAGGGGGAACAAGTCACTGCAGTCTAAGGCAGGGCGTGAGCTTGCGGTGCATCAGCTGCGCTGGGGAAACCGCGTGTCTTGCATGGTGGCTCTTGGCAGAAAAAGGAAGGTAGTTTCTCGCCCTGGGGTACAGGGCTCTTCTCTTTCTTTGTATTCTGTGAGGTGGGGCCTGGAAAGCTGCCTGTGAGCTCATCTGGCCATGATGGCAATTTGAAGCCTTACAATGGACGTCTGATTTCCTTTATTGTCCTTTTCCTACAGCTTGCTGTGTTGCTGTCATGCTGCTTTTTACACAAATGGTATCGGTGTGAATTTAATTGTGGAATCTTCCAGCTATCAGGCTTGATCTTATTGTTGTCTTAAATTGATATTCTAGCGCCTTATTTTAACCAGCATCTATTGCTAGAGGGGTTTTTTAAGAACAAACAAGTATTAGATACAGTCATTCACTTGCTTGTAAAATAATTTATCTGATAAATATTTGTTTTTGTATTTTTTGTCCTTCTTCCTCAAGAGGAGGGGTGTTACAACTCCATAAAATTTGCCTTGTGCCTACTCCCAGAATAGAAAACACAGCATTTAAAAGCAATAACAAGCCAGCTTTTGATATCCATCTTCTTAATGGCCCTGTGTTTAATCATAGCTCTGAGATAAAGCGATAAAAGATTTCCCTTGGAAAGTTGGAAGCATTGGCTCTTTCAGCATTGTAAACGATGCATGTGAAAAGAAAACTGTGCGCACTTTCTCTTCTGCAGGTACCTGGAGGATGGAGGAACTTCTAGTCGTTCCTGCCACTATTATTTGATACGAGCTTTTTGCTTTTTCTTTTTTTTTTTTTTTTTTTAACAAGCACATAATAATGCTTAACCAGATCCACAGTTCCAAGCTGGAAGCTGCAGTTATTCTTAGTGATGATTAAGCCCTTCTCAGACTCTCAGACTGCTGTCATGTTTTTGTTCTCCAGCTCATCACTAGAAATGAGTGCTGAGCTTACTGCATTGAAGCCAGATTTAAAATCTGACATCATGGTACTTTTTTCTGTGATTGGGTTAATCACACTGGTGCTGATGCTGTGTCAGACACTGGAAAGTGAAGGATTCACATATACTGTGAACAAGTCTTCAGTGGGAAGTCAGCTATGGAAGGAGTGGAAGACCTCAGTCTTGGTGTGATTATTATAACTCTGCTGGAGCAATGTGTGTGACTGCCAGAGAGCAGTTTACACTTATGTGGCCATAAAAGGATCTCATTCCCATGTATATCATCTCTACTTTGAAGTCAAGGAAATTCCATTAGAAGGGAACAAGTGTGAGATCAAAATCAAACACCAAAGAGTTGTGATGTTCTTGCTTCTAAGAGGCAAGTGTAGAGATTTCACTTTTCAGAGGTTGCTGTTGTGTGAGCTGACAAGTTTGCTTTGCATAATTATGCTTGACTACAGCCATTCCAAGGAAAGGGAGTGGTGATGTTCAATGCAGGCGCAAACATAACAAAAGCTGAGGGCAGGCGTCTGCAGAATATTGATAACAGGATAATGCTGGTTGGCAGAAGAGTAAATGTGTTGAAACAAATCTCTGAATCTCATTCACATGTACTTTGAAGGCCGTTGGCACAGTGGGTTATGGAAATGCAAAGTACTATTACTCTATGGCTCCTGTTTTCTTCTTCCTAGGTTGTTCTTTCAGACAAAACACTGCACATGTGCCAAAGTACCTACATCACACAAAGAAATGCAGTGTGAGGACGGGGTCACCTGTTCGTATCTTATTCATACGTGGATTGTGAGAGAAAACATATTGCATGAGAGCACATGAGAAAGGATCAAAGTCACAGCAGCAAAGCTGCTCAGGATGGAAAGGTCAGGTGCAGTGTCGCCTGAACAGTCTGTTTAAAAACCAGCAGCTCTAGGATGGTCAGAAATCCACTTATACATCACTGAGTATCTAAGCTGGAATCCTCTGCCATCCTGTTCCAGCACAGACAGCTCCTGGCAGATTTCCCTCCTTTATACCCGGTATGAGAAGCAGGAGCACTTCAGGCCAAGACAGCATATTTTCCAGACATTTTGTAAGTCTGCTCCAGGGGATTCTCAGTTCCTGATTGCTTTTCTCCTTTTCCTTAGCCGTCCTGTCAAATCTGACAGCCGGGAGATTTGAGGGAGAGCTTTGTTCTGTCTGCTCAGACTTTTTTCTCATTTCTTCTCGAGAAACTCCAGAAACACTAAATGCTGGTCCCCTCTCCCTTTACAGATGACCAAGACCAATGCAAACACTGGCAATGGCTTCCTCAGCTGGAGCTCCTCCATCTCAGCAGAGCTGTGGCTGTTCGCTGACATTCCCATGTGGGGAGGGACCTCTCCCTTTGTGGGATGCTGGAAAAGCCCTTAGAAGCATCACGTGCACCTTGCTTTAACTCACCACAGATAGTTTTTCTGTCAACATGGGCAGTGGACATAGATCAGATCATCTTCCAGATTCTCCTAGGGTTCTCTGGGGCTCAGACCAAAGTAGCCTGTTCTGAGAATAATTTTGTAAAGAGCTTTTTTAAAATATCTTTTTATTTCCCTCGGTTTTCTGGCTAATGGGGGAGAGCTGGGGCAGAGACTGTGCTTTACTGCTGTGGTGTTCTCTTCAGGAATTAAGAATGGAGGTCTTTATTCTATCCCAGTAGTGATGTAGGATTGAGGTTATCATGAATTATGCTCTAGAGCTCCTTATATTTTTCTCACCACTAAACAGAACAGTTGTTCTGACCCCCACACCTGGCATCTTGTTGGGGTGGGTATGTGCTATTGTCATGCCTGGTCCTGCCCCAGGGAGGGTAAGGAAGTCCCAGCATCTGCTGGGGCTAGGGGCTGCACACAAAGGGCAGCCAATAGCCCTACACCTGTGGCCAGTCATGGCACTTGTGCTTTCCCCATTTTGCAGGTTTTGTAGCCAGTAAAAGGCAGTGGGTTGCCTTGCTAAGAGTCAGTAGAAATACTGAAGGGGCTGTAGGGCAGTAACAGCAGCATATGGTTTGAAAAATGAGACCCTTAAATACACTTGTAAGAGCCATGGTGCATGAGTGTTACTCTGGCTTTGAAATGGGTGGTGTTGCAGAGTGGGCCATGTGTCACAAGATCTGGGGTGAGCATCCCAGGGCAGGTGCCAGCAGCTCTGCCACTGTCCTGCCTCTCATTAGACATGACAACAGGCAGGGGGTCTTGGCATGGCCCACAGTCAGGGTTTCACCCATTCAGGCTGGGTGCAGCATTTTTCTCCCAGCTGCTTGCAGCATCTTTAATTGGTGAAAGAGCTGCTGGTACAGTGCTGAGGATCTCCCTTTATTTACTGGCCGAGGACTATGTTCCATACAAGCCACAGTACGAAAAGTAAGAAAGCAACAGCTCATATTGAGAGACGATCTGAACAAAAATGGTGGGTTGTATTGAATTTACTCCTGGCTTGCAGGGTTTGTCAGCAAGAGTGGCTGTCATAGGAGTTGGCTGTCATTTTGTCTCATTTTCTTGAAGCACTGTGTAAATGATTGAAGGAGGAGGTATTGACTTATGTCGCTGTCACCATTCTAAAATATTGGGCAGGTGAGAGAGCTTTCTCTGCAATTTATGATCCCTCGGAAGAAGATCAAAATGATGAAGATTAAAAAATCTCCAACAACAAATCAGAGGAAAGGTAAGACTAGTTCTCTGAGAGCTGGCTATCTCTTTGTACCCATCTCCCTCCTTACAGTCAGATGAATACCACAATCTGACTGTGGTTCCTAGATGAATGGGTGTGTTTATCTGTAGAAATCAGCTTTTGTTATACAGGGTGTTTGTGAATTTTTCATCCCAGAAAGTTTGCTTACTACGGGTGTAGTGACCGGGCATGCTAGTGAGAGATGTTTTGCCTTTAGTGAACAAGTTTCTTTTAAACAAACTGAATGTTGTCTGTGTCAGCCCATTCCCACCCAGCATTTTGACCCTCTCACATGCAGTCTCATTGACAGGAGGGGAGTTTCAGAGTGTCCTGCTTCTCCTAGTCCACCCACCTGCATGGAAGTTCCCAGGGTATCTCACAGCTACTCTTTTTTTTTCGACTGTAAGTAGTATTTCTATCTAAGACAAGTGATAATGACATCAACACTGGCACTTTCACAAATGGAATAACATTCTGTTTGCTTGAAAAGTAAAATCCACTATCGAAAGTATTTTCAGTGAAATTGATTTCTTCCTAGAATTAAACCACAAAATGCTGGGCAGACATGTAGATAAAGATGAGATTTTAATGATATCCACCATGATTTACTGTAGAGATAATAATGAACCCCTGCTCCTAATGACTCAGGTACAATTTTAATTTGGTAAAATATCAGTCCTTTTACACCTGCATTATGAAGAAATGCACAGCAAATTCTGTGAGGAATACCTACTTCCTGTCCTACGGACATCCAAGGAGAGGTCCTCACGCATTAACAGAAGACGATAAACCCAAACGTGTTATTACTTTATAGCACTGGCTTCTACAGTTTGACATAGCTTGTTTTTTATTTGAACTCTTTCTGCATAAAATCAGAAGCTTCTCCCAGGCATGAGTGTTCTGTGTCTTCTTGTGCTGTCATGTATTACATGACAGAAGAAATTTCAGGGCGGTGTCAAACCATAGTATTATGTGATTTTATACAGATCAGTGGTATTGAATATTTTGGATGAAGAATCAGGATTCCTCCAAGGTTATGAGACATTTTTACCATTAAACTGTGAGACCTGTAGTTCTGCAGACCAGCTGGAAACCACTTGTGTTAAACCTACAGCATATAAAAACCTTTGACTCCACTTACATAACTGAATAAGGGATAATATTTACCTGCTCTTCTTATCGTGTGAGTATTGTAAAGATTCGATCATCCTCACATTGTTTAGCGCTTTGGAAACTGTGTCAACATATGGAAACATATGTCCACATTTGAAATACTTGAATACTACCACTATTTTTTGCACAAGACACACCTGGACAATATTTTTAATGGTAGT